GGACTTTTATCCTCAAGGGCATGATGCTCTTTGTATATAGCTCATCACCTCTCGTTAGAAATTATGGCCTGATAAATACTGTAAGTTTACTTAAGATGCATGTTGCAACGTCCAAACATCAGCAATGGAGATATCAGTACTTAATTCTCACTGTCTGGCAACTGAAAAACATTTTGTACCAAGACGATGTCCCTTTCATCGACACTCTGACTGCACGCTGGGCTAGCACACCCCGCGTTTCATAATAACCTCGTCACATACCTTTCACAACACTGGGGCCGAGGGCAACGAATGACATAATACGATAATATATTACTTCCACGTTTCGAATCTAGGCATTTTGATGTAAAAGCCTCGTTTATTAACGGCAGTGGATGGTCGTATTGGTTGGGTTCTCTGGCCTTCTTATCGACAACTTCAGAGTTATTGACTGACATAATCAGCTCAGCAAACTCAAATGACAGAAATGAACGCAACCTCTCTTGGTCCCGCTTGGGCCCATAGGACATGTGGCTGGGATGAATTCAAATGGATTTTCCCGTAAGAGCAACTCGAGTCCCGTCCGATTCTTCTCAGCAACCCTGTAATTGCAGAAATCACGGACATGCCCCGTTGCAGAAGGTGATCATGCACGGTCGCCAACAGATCTATGTTTATTTGTGTTGTTTCACATGAAAACGACTCTTTGTATAAGGCCTTAACGCAGCGTAGTTTCGCTTGGTGTATGCCGAGAGTTTCCATGATTGCCTACTGGGTAACCCTACGCTATTAGTATACCCCTGCTCCAGTTCGCTCAACAAAAATGTGACTGTCACCTGTTCTTATACGGAAAAAAGGGATCAGTAATGTTTAATTATCATATACCAGTTGGGAATTCATTTTTTTCCCGCAGAACGTGTGTGTCTACTTAGTGAATACTGTTCCTATAAACACACTGGTAGCTAATATATTCTTGTTATCATCCCAAGAGCACTTTATTTTCGGCGGTTGTATTTGTAGTTTATAAGCACAATGTAGGAAATCATTTTATTCACGACTACACACTGATCAAGGGCGATGGATGTAAGGGCAAAACCCGTCATTGAAAAGTAACTTCTCCCCGATGTAAAGTCCATCTTTTAATGGGGTTGTTCTTACCGCTGATGTATAACAATGTGCGGCCGCGATACTATCGTGTTCATTGTCAGCTGCACGCATCGTGTGAGAGAGGAAATACGATCGAGACGATACCTTTCAAAACTGGGTTGGCCGAGGACTACATACATCTGGGGCTCGGCACCTTCATTCAATAAGTCAGGAGTGTGATTGAATAAGTGTGATTATTTTACCGAGACGGAACACGTTTCTCCCAGAATCTAGGAAACACTGAGTTGCCAATTAGAAGTAGGATTTTACCAAATTCATTAACAGCCAACAAAACGGCTTTGTGTGTCTCGCCCGATGGGACGACAACCACATCTATATTTCTTCATCCCTTTTGGATGGAACACCCAGACACCATTCCATATCAGCAGATTATACAAAACCGGGAAAACTTGTTCATTTTTTCCTGAAATAGGTCCTGAACCAGGGACGTGTTCGGGCTTTGTCGTAAATAAAGAATTCAAAGACATTTAGGTCATCCGCTCTAGTTTAAAAGCCTCCGAAGATGGTTTGAAATTATGCCGGCTTTCATCTTGCAGACCCACAGATTGCATCTTCTGAGGATATTTTTTTCTTCGCCGTCTTATCTTTTAAGTGATCTGCAAACAGCAGAGCATCTATGTTAAAGTGTGCATGCATTTGCGCCCCAGTTGGAGGGTGTATCATCATGTTGTAATAGATTTATAAGCAAATATGGATGAGTTGGAAGCCATGAAGAACCCTCAGATAAATGAATTCGACAAATAGTGTTAGAGTTATGCATGTTTCTTTATGAGCCAAGGAAGCGTCATACAGGTCCCAGTTCCATTCCAGAATTGTTCAGTCATTTATACAATTAGTTGCCCTAAAATCAAATTTGCGTTTCCCTGGCGGGCATGTTCAATGCCATTTATATAGAAGTTTCTCAATAGCGACTGGCTGGAGTAAGACGGAATGGCAGCGACTATTTAATTTCTTTGTGGCTGACAAAAGAAGTTGAATAAAGTTAATCACGTTACCATGGTATAGCTGAGCAGCATGACCCGTGTCGTAACTAAGGGGGGGGGGCAGATGCCCGTGCTCCAGGTGCCCCCCCGTTTGAAATCTGTGAATAATCTCCGTTGAATTACAGTCAAAACTTATTTCCTGGTGGTGACCCCATTGACAAAATGTGTCCACCCCAGGGTGCCTCCGCCCCGCCGGACATTTAGCTCCAGCTACGCCACTGCACGACTATAGCTTCTCTCTCGAAATGGTACCGCATGTCCCAAATCTTAGATATTGTTTGGAGTGGTCGGACGCCAGTACTGCACTAGTGTGGTGGTGTCTATAGAGGGTTTGGACGGCTGCCATCTTGCAGGCCAGTACGTTTGTTCCACAGGGTGTGCACAAAGGAGGTTTCTCTATGGAAGAAAGGAACTGCACTGCAAGATGGGTACCATGCAAAGCCTCTATAGAACAACAGACTAATGCACCTAATGCACCTATCCGTCTCTCGATGCAATAAACACACCCACTAAACCTATCTGCTGTATCTGGGCTGAATCTGGGCTGGGCAAATAGACAGGAAAGAGCAACTGTTCGTGAACTGGAGGAAGAGCAAACTTATTATGACTTAACCTTAAAACACGTAAACAAAATATCTCTTTGAAATTAATGTTCACACACGGTGCAATTCTACTTCTCGCTAATAAGTCAACAAATATAATATAGGAAACGAGCCATTAACAGACCCTCGTTACACGAAAGAATTGATTTACAATGCTACGCATGCGCAAATCCAAGAGCTGCGCGACAAGGAGTTCGTTTTTCACGGTACATTTCAAGTAGGACGTGCTTGGTGCACAGCGCTTGTCAACTATGATTAAAAAGGGTTTGACTACGCTTCCTTTCAACATCATATTGTTAAGGCTTCGTTAAGTAATGACATTTTCAGCTTCAATGACGTCCCCAGTGCCAAACACTTGAACAATGGAAAGATACTGATCCTCAAACAGCGAAATGGGGATATCTAATATGCGATCTCCAATATACATTTCCGATAGCTTTTCAGCTACAGCTTTTGGGGATTATTTCATTAAAAATGGAACTTGTAACACTACAGTTCAAAATAATTAAAAAACTATCAGATTTATGTTCCTCGGGTGTTTGTATTAAAACGAGTATAGGCGTCTTGGCGGCGGGGGCTGCTTTTTCTGCACGCTGTGTGTCAACGGTGAGAAAGCCATTTTAACAGCTATGCAGAAATTTCCAGTTACACAACTTGATCAAGTTTTCCTACGGTATTATTTACCTTCGAATACTGGTATAACTAATCAAACCACACTCCGTTTTCTTCATTCTTTCCTTTTTGAAGCCCGTTGGTTGATGTACACGTGTGCAATAAATCGAAGTACGTGTCATATGGTGGCAAGCACCCATTTTGTCGGTATATATACGGTGATAATTAGCGCACAGGTTTTACGCTTGACCAGCGTAACAGATTCTCTTCAATTACACAAGTCATGTAAAAATTCTAAATTTTATTTTAAACAAGTCAGTATAGAATTACAGATTAGGCCTAGTTGTGCATTTCATTTTGGCAGTATTTTCTGTATCATTTTACAAAGCCGTATTTATCCATTATTGTTACCGTTCAACCTGTGAGTGTTGTTGCCGCAAGGTCGACTTCTTGCGTAAACTTTGGCGTACTTCCAATCCCCTTTGGGGAACTCAAAACTGTCAGATTTAAGGACTTTTATCCTCAAGGGCATGTATTTGCGCCCTAGTTCGAGGGTGTATCATCATCTTGTAATGTCTCGTAACTACAGTGGGGCAGATGCCCGTGCTGCAGGTGCCCCCCCCGCTTGAAATCTGTAAATAATCTCCGTTGAATTACAGTCAAAACTTATTTCCTGGTGGTGACCCCATTGCCAAAATGTGTCCACCCCAGGGTGCCTCCGCCCCGCCCCCGCCCCGCCGGACATTTAGCTCCAGCTACGCCACTGCACGACAATAGCTTCTCTCTCGAAATGGTACCGCATGTCCCAAATCTTAGATATTGTTTGGAGTGGTCAGACGCCTGTACTGCACTATATTGCCGATGTTTTGGTTTTTAAATGTGGTGTCTATAGAGGGTTTACACGGCTGCCATCTTGCAGGCCAGTACTTTTGTTCCACAGGGTATGCACAAAGGAGGTTTCACCATGGAAGAAAGGAACTGCACTGCAAGATGGCTACCATGCAAAGCATCTATAGAGCAACAGACTAATGCACCTAATGCCCCCATCCGTCTCTTGGAGACGGATAGGTGCATAAATAAACTGTTTCGCATCTCTCGATGCAATAAACACACCCACTAAACCTATCTGCTGTATCTGGGCTGAATCTGGGCTGGGCAAATAGACAGGAAAGAGCAACTGTTCGTGAATTGGAGGAAGAGCAAACTTATTATGACTTAACCTTAAAACACGTAAACAAAATATCTCTTTGAAATTAATGTTCACACACGGTGCAATTCTACTTCTCGCTAATAAGTCAACAAATATAATATAGGAAACGAGCCATTAACCAGACCCTGGTTACACGAAGGAATTGATTTACAATGCCACGCATGCGCAAATCCAAGAGCTGCGCGACTCGGTCTTCGTTTTTCACGGTACATTTCAAGTAGGACGTGCTTGGTGCACAGCGCTTGTCAACTATGATTAAGAAGGGTTTGACTACGCTTCCTTTCAACATCATGTTGTTAAGGCTTCGTTAAGTAATGACACTTTCAGCTTCAATGACGTCCCCACTGCCTAGTCAAATATCTAGACTTCTTTCTTTCGTTTTCGAGTGAAATACAGTCCGTATTGCGCTACCGCAGAGATCGGTACCACGGTGCGGTAATGTTCAAAATGTATCGCGCTGTGTTTGTGTTTTTGAGTTTTGTGCTTGGGGCTCTCAGCTATGTTCCACCACCGCTTCTAGTCAACTTCACCGTGGAAGGTGACGTTGCCCTCGGCGGGATGGTCCCGTTCCACTTTGGTCCAGCCTGCAGGGGTTCCCTAGGACGGACTTCGGTGGAAGTTGCCGAGACAATTATCTTTGCTATACGCCAAGTGAACGAGCGATCGGACCTACTGCCGAACGTCACGTTGGGGTTTGACATCAGGGAGACTTGCTACGACGAGGACATGACGTTGCTGTCCGTTCTTTCTCTTCTGAGCGGCTACTCCCACGACGACCCTGTCTTTGAGGTGACTGGGCAAGGTCGGCCATCGCCTGCTGGTAACTTGGTGGGTATCATCGGCACAGCGAACAGTGCTACGAGCCTCGCAGCAGCCAAAGCCACCAACCTGTACGACGTGCCGATGATCTCCTACTCTGCCACCAGTGATGAGCTCAGCGACAAAAACCGTTTTCCCTACTTTCTGCGTAGCGTGCCCCCAGACAGGTTTCAAGCCCAGGCAATTATGGATATCCTAGTCCACTACAAATGGATCTACGTCGGCTTGATCTATTCACTGGATACCTACGGAATCCTGGGGACACAAGAGGTACTGACACTGGCGGACAGAGAAGGCGTCTGCGTCGCGTTTTCTATTGCGGTGAGAAAGCACGCCGCCCCATCCGAAATCGAGGAAATTGCCGAGAAAATCGCTTCCCACGACCGCGCGAGGGTTCTGGTGATGTTTGGTGAGTTTAAGGGTATGTACGAAGCTTTGCAGAAATTTCATGACGAATACCCCTACGAGAGACGGACACTACTCTGCAGTGACGCCTTTGGCCAAGATTTACATCAGTACACTTTCGTGAGTATGATCCAAAGCAGTATTAAAGTGCAACTCGATTTCCAGAAAATTCCCGGAATCCAGGAGTACTTCCGTGAGGTGTCGCAGCAGAGCTGGCTTGGTCCATGGTTCACTGCCTTCAGAGATAACTGGATATCGGCCGAAAACTGCTCAGACATCTCTGCCTGTCCAATCTTATTCACGGGAACGTGGATGCCCATTTACAAATCGGTGTATGCTTTTGCCCACGCCTTGGACAACATGCTGCATGACTTATGTCCTGAAATGACAATTGAATGTACTGCTCTGGCCGTCCGTAATGTCACTGGCATGGACATGGTACCATATCTGCGCGGCGTTGTCTTTCAAGCACCGGACGGGACGTTCCAGTTCGATCCGAACGGGGACCCGGCTGGCGCGTATCTCCTCAGCTCAGTGAGTGTCGACTCGCAAGGTAAGATACAATGGAACCAGATCGGAGAATGGGACTCTCATCTCAAGCCGCACGCCCTGTCGATGGACGACACGGCGATCATGTTGTTGGGATTCCCATCCGGGCCCCCGACCTCGGTGTGTCGAGACCGATGTCGGTCAGGCTTTATCGAGGTCCCGGAGAAGAGGAAGTGTTGCTGGGGTTGTCGTCAATGCGCTCCCAATGAGAAAGTGCTCGAAAACGAGTGCGTGGCCTGTCCCAGCTACTATTGGCCAAGTGAGGACTTCACGACGTGCCAGGACATTGTTCCAACTACCATCGATCTCCAAAGTCCAACCATACTGGTCCTGCTGGCCTTGTGTGGCGTAGGGATCTTCTTCGTCCTAACTAGCCTGACCGGCATGTTCATCTACCGCAACCACCCTCTGATCAAGGCCACGGGACGCGAGGTCAGTCTGGTCACCCTTCTCGGGACCCTTCTGGCCTACGTGACCGTCTTTCCGTTCTTAAGTTATCCAACCGAGGCGTCATGTGGCATTTGCGAGGCCATGGTCTCCCTGTGCTTCACGCTGACCTACGCACCCACCCTGCTCAAAGTCAACCGAATTTGCCGCATCTTCCAGGCCGGGAAAAAGTCCACACGACCCCCTCGTCTGGTCCGGCCGAAAGAGCAAGTACTTCTGGTCGTGCTGCTGACTACAGCCCAGGTAATCGGAAAAATAAAGCAATTATATCAAGCAATGCCACATACATGGCCCGTAAAACAGGGTTTGCTTTGAGTTTGCGACATGAACTAGAACTACATATAATTTCAACACTCGAAGTAACTGGGGCACATTATTATATCACCCTGTGAGCTGAGCTCCCCAAAACAAGTAACAGGGAAGAAATCCTCTGCCACTATAACAGCATACCAATGTTCAATAAGGTTCAAGATATGAAAGAGACAAAACAAAGCCTGCCATTCGAGGACACCAATATTATCGGGGCACACGCCCCTACATACCAACAAACAGGGGACAAATTCACATCTTCCTATTTTGTAGGGCACACTGGACCATGTCATTAGTCTTACCAGATACTATCATAACTGCACACATACTAATTCGCATCAGAGGTCAACAAACCCTTGCATAATGGAAAGAAAGCAGACTGACGATTTCAGAGACCACCACATCACGACAATGGGGGACAAATAAGAAACAGCCCATGCAAAGAGGGAATCCGCTGCCATTTAATAGGCGTAATGCAAGGATAACATTCAAAATGTGTGCAAAAATTATACGAAAAAAGCAGAGGAGAAATGCGGAAGTTCATCCGAAACTGACAAGAATTCTGTCGCGAAACAGTGCCAACGATGCAGTTCAAGAGCTAACTGCTGATCCTTGATGGATATCCCGTGAGCTATTCCAGTGTCCGTAATGGTAGTTTTTATTCATTGACGGATGAACAGAAACTCAAGGACCAATTTAAGATGTTGGCCGTATCATACAGCGTCTCTCGAATTCCTGCCAGAAGTTATGTATCATATGTAATAATTTTGCACTGAAAAGTATGGCGTGTGAAATTGATATGTTTTCCAAAATAGAGATATCTAGGCCCCCTATATAATTAATTCTTATAGAGTTATCTCCATTTCAAACAGAGATATCACTATAATAGGGATATCTCTAGTTTGGGATTACATTTCAACATTGCACGCAATAGAAAAGAATGGTGAGAACTATTTCACTGTTCAGGGAGTGAATCGTTTAGAGACTTGGTCCTTGGGTATGGACCGCACTCTACTTTATCCCAAGAGTTAGCCATCAGACCGAATGACCAATACCCCAGTGAGCAAAGGTTCGATACGAGCTCTAATAGGTATACAATCGGCAGCAAAGTATTTTCCGTGTCCTCGGTTATCTATCTGTAGCTCGAAACCAGTCCTCGAATTGTGTGAGTGATAGCAACAGAGGGAATCACAGTGGCCTGTCTTTGGGGTATAGCAACTCATGATTATACTTTGCGTCTAAGAAGTCCAAAGGGACAAGAGAATTATGAGTGTTGATGTCAAGAAAAAAAGGAGGCCCGGTGGCTTATTCTAATGCAAAATATCACACGTGCCAAAAATTATGACCAAAACCGGAAAAATTTTAAGAAAAATACTTGGTCACTATATGATGTTTGTTTGTCCATTTATTTATTTACTCTTTATGCATAAACTTATCATCATTATTTATTTGGTTTAGGGGAGTAACTAAGCTTTCATGACCCCTCACGAGGACGCTTAGGACGAAACCACCCTTGTGGTGTGTACATGTTAGACGATGCTTCCGGGAAATATTTGGGCTTTCGCACTGGGCATGGCCTTTCTCTTGGGAACACGCCCAGGCTGTAATTTGATTGACTAGCTGAAGCATCGATGGGAGTATGGTAAATCTCTGGAAGTGACGAAAATTGCAACAACTCAAGTGTAATCGCGTGAGGAATTGCCACTAAGCAGTGACGAGAAAGCTTCCGAGAACGGCTTTTTGACGTGGACAACTGCTTCATTTAAATTCTGTTTTAGTGTTCTTTGTGAGTGACAGAAAATGAATAGGGCGAACTGTTGACTAAACACTATTACTCATAACACTGTTACATGTATATGTATTTGTGGGCTAACACTTATTATGCTGATAATAATTAAGAAAGTCACACAATTATTTGAAATGATTCGAATTTGAATATCATAGTTTCCAATCTAAGAACACCAAAAGTAGAGTTGTATGAGGGGACATACCGATCTTGTGCCAAATACTTGTCTAAACATTTACCCCAACGCAAAAGTCTTAGTGTTTCAACTTTGTTTCAAAGGTAAAATTTCACTCTAAACTCCCCTCGCCTAGCCTAAATGGTAGTTAATAATTTTTAAATAGCCCTCATTGTCTTGGTTCTTGTTTTAGTACAGAAGTCTTGCTGAGTAGAAAGCGCTTCAAAGCTTTCAAGAGAATGGAAAACATAATGCCTCGTAAGCCTTGATACGATATCTCAACTGACAGTGCATCCCTTTGGGAAAAAAAGCTTGACTTTCTGACAACACACAGACGGCGCTCTTGAGTTTGGAGAGTTGTTTTGCTGTGACATTTATAAGCAACTGCGGGCTTCCATTGAGATGTTTCAAGACTCGCAGAGACTTTGCATTCACTCCCGCCGAACATTGCACTTCATCTCCGAGTGCAACTCTACATCTTCTAAGTGTAGCTGCAATGAATTTTCCTCAGACACAATTTATCTGCAGTTTTGTACTTTTCTTCAATGTGCAAAACTCTAATTACCATTTGGTGAAAAGTGCACTTTTAAAACGCCCCAAATTATCAATGCTTTCTAGGGCAACTAGAGGCGCCGTTGCTGTGATGTCATTCAGGGAAGACATAGTTCAGGGCATGGATTTTTTGGTCAAAATTATGAACCCAGAATTAACTTAACGAAAGCCTTGCTGAGAAAAGGTTTGATATTTATGCACATTAACAATAATGAATAAACAAAAA